TTCTTTCAAACAATTCGGTAAATAAAACACACATATACATATTTTTTTTATTTATAAAAAGAGCAATAAACAATTCCTTCAAAATTCCCAAAGAGAATTGTGGTTCTGAAAAGAACCGATTTTTTGTTGTGTTGATTGGTGGCGGCGGCGGCGGCTGCAAATGTGATTTATGCACGTTCGCCTCGAATGCGACGGGCCAGCTGGATGTCCTTGGGCATAATTGTCACTCGCTTGGCGTGAATGGCACACAAGTTGGTGTCTTCGAAGAGCCCCACCAGGTACGCTTCGCTTGCCTCCTGCAGTGCCATCACCGCGGAGCTTTGGAAACGCAGGTCGGTCTTGAAATCCTGCGCAATTTCACGCACCAGACGCTGGAAGGGCAGTTTGCGGATCAACAACTCGGTGCTCTTCTGGTAGCGACGAATTTCACGCAACGCTACCGTGCCAGGACGATAACGATGCGGCTTCTTGACGCCGCCGGTTGCAGGCGCACTCTTACGAGCCGCCTTTGTCGCCAGCTGCTTGCGCGGTGCTTTTCCTCCAGTTGATTTGCGAGCGGTCTGCTTGGTACGGGCCATGGTAGCGGTGTGGCTGTGACGAAGTCTCAACGGATACTGACGCGTTGTGCGCGCACCGCTCGCCAGCAAAGCGCGCGCGCAAGCTGCGCGTTCGCGGGATGGTGGGAGCTGCTTGCGCGCTACGCGCTGCGCGAGGTTTCGTGGTCGGAATGTGCCAGTGAGCCGCAGCACTCGTGTCTTCGACTCCGGTCCGCGCACATCGTTTTCGACCCACAACTCTACTCTACTCCAAGCAACATGACTGGCCGTGGCAAAGGTGGTAAAGGATTGGGAAAAGGTGGCGCCAAACGTCATCGCAAAGTTCTTCGTGACAACATCCAGGGAATTACGAAGCCCGCCATCCGTCGTCTCGCTCGTCGTGGCGGTGTGAAACGTATTTCCGGTCTCATCTACGAGGAAACTCGTGGCGTGCTGAAGGTATTTCTGGAGAACGTCATCCGTGATGCTGTCACTTACACCGAACACGCCAAACGCAAGACTGTGACAGCAATGGATGTTGTCTACGCGCTGAAAAGGCAAGGTCGCACACTCTACGGCTTTGGCGGTTAAACAACATTTGCAGCGGCCATTTTACCCATTGACGTCGGCTCCAACGCCAAGAGAACAACAAAAAATCGGTTCTTTTCAGAACCACAAATTTCTCGCAGCAATTTGAAAGAATTATCTATCTTGCAAGCAATAAAGTATAAATGTGTGTTAATAAATATTATCCGAACCACCGATTTTCTTACAGTATCTTGAAAGAAACGCTTCACTTGCAAATAATGAAATATATAAAAATTTTGTGGTTTGTTTTATTTTCCCTGATTATTTTGCTATTTTTTACGGTAAAAATATTGAAAAAGTCGACATTTAATTGTTTTTATCGTAAAAAAGTTTCAATTCACGTGTTTCCCT